ATAGTTTGAATCTTCTTCGGATCTATCATAAGTTCTTCGTTGAAAATGATATATCCTAAGATATTAACTTGAGTAATGTGGAATACGTATTTTTTCAATTTGGTGTACAATCTCACATCTCTAAATTTTTGTAACACATGACAAACATGAACTTCATACTCTATTATGTACTTAAAATAGATTAATATATAATCTAAGTAATAGATAAAAAAATCATTTAAAAAATTACAAAAAATATCATTTATAAGATGTTGAAAAGTAGCTGGTACATTCGTAAGTCCAAAAGGCATGACATTATATTCCAAGTGTCCATATCTTATTCAAAATGTAGTCTTCTATTCATTTTCTTCTTTAATGTGGACCAAATTGTATGCTTTTGTAGATCTATTTTGTATAAATCTTAGCTTGATGTAGTTGATGAAGAAGTCTAAATATAAAAGATAAACGATACCTATTTTTGATAGTAATCTTATTAAATCCTTGATAAATTATACATAGTTGCGATGATCCATCTTTTTTCTTCATAAATAAGATAGGAGCTTTAAAAAGAGATTTTGAATGATGTATGAAATTCTTGGCGAAGTTCTTGTCAATGTACTTCTTGAATTCAACCAACTCATTTTGTAATAAACTATAGATTGGACCAAATGGTAGCTAACTTCTTTCTTTAAGGTCAATTGAGTATTTATATGGATGATGCTTTGAGAGTATATTTCTATTCTTTATTTCAAAAATATTTTGAAAATCTTGATATTAACTTAGAATGCTACTTAAAGTCTTTCTATCATTAAAAATGGATGTGGCATAAATAACAAAGGATGATTCTTTTTTTTACAACATGCAAAAAAACTTTTGCACCTGCAAGTATGCATTTGATTACACTAGACTCATGGCTTTTTATAATAATTTTAATAGTACAATGAAAAAAGTTAAATTTATAAGAAATCCAATATATCAAAGGATTATATTTTTTTAACCATGATAAATCTAAAATGACTCAATTAAAAAGAAACCTAATTATATTAAAAATAATTCAACTATTATGACCATTTATTGCTACATCTGTAGGAAGTGTTTCAGGAGTAATGTCTCTAGAGGATAATGGATGGCCATCTATGACATGTATAGGTTTAGTTTTTTGTACTAACGGTATTCTATGGCTTTTAACAAACTCTTCATCTAAAAAATAAGTTCATGCTCTTGAATCTATCAAAGTAGAGGTTTTGTAATTATTAGGTATTAAATGTACATCTATTGTAAAACAAGGAGAAGATTTTAAGGAGAGGATAGGACCTTCATTTGTATAAGATTTTAGCGGCATGGTTCCTATTATAGTTGAATAAATTTATTATTTGACATTTTTTCATCTTTGACAGTCGTACTTCTTATTTTGCAGTAGCGTCATTTTTTTGAATAATGTTGAGTAATATAATTAGCTTTTCTACAATATAAACATAATCTTTCTTAACGACAACAAGTCTTTTCTTGTTCAATAAGAGGTTTAAAACGTATTGCATCAATTTGTATATCTTCTACTTTTAGATGTTTAGATTGAAAGGTCATTGGTGTTGTCATTGAATTATAATAGTGTAGAGGTTCTTTTATGTAATTTTCAAATTGAAGCTCAAAAAGTTGATTGTTATACTTCACAAAAAAATCAATTGCTTGATTCAATGTTTGAGGATCAAATAAGTTGAGCAATAATTTCTTTATCTCATATTGTAATCCGTAGAAAAATTGGCTGATAAAGATAGCATCATTGCACTTGATATCAGTTGCTAATTGTCAAAATTGTAAAGCATATGATATTACTAATTGATTGCCTTATTGTAAAATATAAATTTTATTGGTTGTAATACAAATTGCATTATGTTTTTCTTACATGGATCAAAACTCCACCAAAAAAGCCTCAAGTTTATCCAATATTGGATCTCGTTGCTCAAGAAAAGATGAAAATCATAATAATACTGAATATAAAAGAAGTATATTAAAGAATCTAACTTATGATCTTGACGTTGGATAGCTTTGGAATTCAAGTTCAATCAAAAATTATACTTGATTGATAAATCTTCAAAACTTGGAACTTATGCCATCAAACTTCTTGGGTAAGGCAATTCTAGGTTCACTAATACTAGAAGCATGTTCTACTATAGGAAAAGGAATGTGATTTGGTGTACATGTTGAAGCAGCTCCAATCATGTATGTATCTTCACTTCCTGCCATTTTTGTTATTCCAAGAGGTGATAAATTGAGTTGATGCATTTTAAGCATCAAATCTTTCAATTGCTCTTGCATTTGTGCTATTGCACTCTTTATTTCATAAAGCTCTGCCATAATGATACTTAAAAAAAAAAAAAAAAAAAAAAAAAAAAAATCTAATATTGCTCAAGATAAGTAGAAGAGAGGACTTAAGAACAAAGAAGATACTAAGAATAATATTAGTTTAGAAGAGGGTAATGTGCAACTTCTAATACGCTTATGTCTTATCAAGAAAAAAAAGTAATCTATTCTTAATCAAGAAAAGATAATGCTCTAATATTATAAGTATACTCTTATCAATTTATCAAGGACATGAATTAAAAGAAGATGCATAAACTTGGAAAATTTGTATCAAAAGAAAAGTGACAAAATAAAAATAAAGTAATATGTATATTAAAAAAAAACTAAAATGGCTATTACCAAAAGACAAGGAAACTAGAGACTCTTGAATCTAGACTAGAACCAAGAAAGGAGTTGACAAGAATAAAGAAAGCTTCATTCTTGCCTCTATATATATTTTCTATCTAGGATCTATATGGCGACATTCTATAGGACCTCCAAAAATGTGTTGACTTTACATGACATGTATCTTTACTTGCAAGGCAAGTTTTTTATGTTGCCGCCACATAGTTAGCTTGTTTTACAAACTATTAACATATGTGGTACATGGATAGCTTGTTGACCAAGTTTCTAACCTATCAATCAAGTACAAACACACGTAAAATCAAAACAGTGTCTAGGAAGCTTTTCTAAAATGTATTAAGAAATTAATCAATTTTTATCTAATTCTATCTACGTAGTTAACGATTGCAATAGGTTTATATCTGTGACATGTATTCATCAAAGGATGGAAGTTGTCCATTAGGATAGCAACCACCACCTATAAGTAACAAGTGTTAGAAGTGAGAGATATCTTACTCTATACTCTCTTTATATCCAACCTTGCTAATGCTAAGTGTTGTGATTTCATAGTACTTATTCTTCAATAAGTTTGTACTACAAACTATCAATAAATGTGACACGTGACTAACTTATTCATCAAGTGTTCAACCTACCAATTACCTATAGACACATATAAAGATGAAACTACATCTATGAAGCTTTTAAGAAGCTTTCCTATAAGATATTATTAAATTAATCTACTTTTACCTACTTCTATATATTCATATTATTTAGATAATTATTAAAATAAATATGTATGTCCATGATAGACATATCATATTAATCATAGAAGTACCAAAATAAAAAATATTAGTTACTAGTTCATGGAACTAGAGTGTTGTTGTAGTATGTAAAAATGAGAGTCTATAAAAAGTCATTGAGTGATACAAGTCTAATATATCAATTCTTAAATCTTTCCTTGAAATAGTTTGATTGAGATTCTAATTAATTATTATGTGATTTATATTTTAATTATGGATATATTTCATGAAAATTAATGATCATGAAAGGTTCCTTCAATATTCTAATTGATCCTTTTATAAGTACATTTAATTTTAAAAAAGATAATGTAATAGATTATTATTAATTTAGGCAAGATATTTGGAAAGAATCAACATCTAATTGTTGAATCATAAGTCATGAAGCTCCAACTTAATTTAGATGCATTCAAAATCAGGTTTTTGGAGAAATCTTAAGAGTATTCCAAATGCAACTTTTTTGTTTTCTACTTATATCCACATGAGATTTTTATTCAATCATTAAAAGAACAAACCTATGGACATTCTTGAAAACAATTAAGTTTGAAATGAATTTAATTCTTTAAAAATATGGTTTAGATACTATATATTAGCAATTTGGTCCATATGTATTGTAGTATTGAACTCTTTATTATGCTTAAAAATAATCCTAAATGTTTTAAATCTTATAGTTATATTTGAAATTTCTTACTCTCATAACAATCTTGTGATTTTTATTCAATAATTATTACTTTGATATTATATTACACTTTTTCTAAGTACTTCTATCCTTCCTTTCTTTCCACATTTATTGCAATTTCGAAATAGAAGATCTTTTCTACACAATATATGTGAAGAATGCAAAGGCATTTAAACTACCAAGAGTTTGGTATGACTCAATGATGCAAAAGTTTGTTAACAATGATAGAAGCAGGATAACTATAAACACAAATGCACACAACATATACTTAGAAAATATTATTAAGTAATATCATTGAACATGGTATAAACAATTTGATATTCTAACAAATTTATTAAAATAAAATAAAATAAATCCACACTAAAAACATAGAGAAATCAATTTCATCTACCTCCGCATTTCAACCTCTAAAATACGTAACCATTATACACTCAACAATTCATTTATGTTTTGATGAAATTCTTTAATATAACAAATCTCGAAGCATATATCATAATCAAACAGTCAAGAGTGTGCTTGTGGAAAAAGATACAGAATGTGAAGAACAAAAAACTATTTCTGCATGTGAAACTTTTTGTAAAAAGAAACAAAACAAAACAATTATAAAAAAACAATTATAACAAAATAATAACAGCATCATTGCCTTGTGTGGAATTGAAACAGATCGAGAAATCAACATGTGTAAAACCCGAAATTGAATATCAGTATTCGAAAGAATGACAGAAAATGAGATTTGTAAAGAAATTGAAGCAAAGAATGGATCTGTGCTGAATGTGTGACGTGTCCTTGTGGCGGACCTGCCCAGTACTTGGCCAACCTCGTCGACTCGTCTAGGCTCGACTCGGCTCAGCTCGGCTCAGCTCGGCTCAGCTCGGCTCAGCTCGGCTAGACCCCTCCTTCCTTGAAGCCACACCCACCCCCTTCTAATCCTTGCGCCCGGCCCCGATCTGTTCCGCTTAACCCTAAGCTCTCCCTATCGCTCCTCCCCTGCTCTGGTGCGGCCTCCTGGTTCGCGCGTTGCATGGGGATCGTAGGCACTGTTCCTTTTGCTGCGCTCGCCCGCATTGTTTCTTAGATCTTTGCATACGCGAGGCGCGTTTTGGGTTTGGTTGGGTGTCGGGTGGTTGTTTCTACGGTAGGTAGGGCGGGTGATCTGGCGGATCAGGGCGGGCTGCCGGTCATGGACTCCGATCAGGGCAAGCTCTTCATCGGTGGCATATCGTGGGAGACCACGGAGGAGAAGCTGCGCGATTATTTTAAGAGCTATGGCGAGGTGGTCGAGACCGTGATCATGAAGGACCGCGCGACGGGGCGCGCGCGGGGCTTCGGGTTTGTGATCTTCGCGGACCCGAGCGTGGCCGATCGGGTGGCGGGCGAGAAGCACACCATCGACGGAAGAACGGTAAGCGCCCTGCTTTGGAACCCCGGGCCTTTAGTGGAGTGTGGCGAGGTTAGAGCGGTGGAGCGTGATGGTGTTGGTGGCATGGCGATGTGTGGCAGTTGTATAACTTGTGTAGCATGTCTTTCTTAAATCTTTTGCTATTCTAGGTGGAAGCGAAAAAAGCTGTGCCGAGAGACGAACAGCAGAATATGCCTAGGAGCAACAGCGTGGGTGGCCAAGGGCCAGCAACATCCCACACTAGGACAAAGAAGATATTTGTGGGGGGCCTAGCCTCAACAGTTACAGAAGATGACTTCAAAAAGTATTTCGAGCAGTTTGGTACTATTACAGATGTGGTTGTTATGTATGACCACAATACTCAAAGGCCTCGGGGCTTTGGCTTCATCACTTTTGATTCTGAGGATGCAGTTGAGAACGTGATCCAAAAGTCGTTCCACGAGCTCAACGAGAAGATGGTGGAGGTGAAGAAGGCCATTCCGAAGGAGCTGTCGGGAGGGTCGGGTCGAGCTGCCGCGGGATTCGGCGGAGGAGGTCGCGGCGGGGGCATCTACGGATCGGGGTACAGCCAGGGAGGATACGGCGGTGGGAGTCCAGGAGGAGAGAGTGGGTACGGCGGTGGGAGCCCGGGAGGAGGGAGTGGGTACGGCGGGCGAGGCGGGTATCCGGGGTACGGGGCTGCAGGTTACGGAGGTGCGGGATTCGGGAGCAGCGGTGGACATGGCGCGGGGATGAACGGGGGCTACGGGGGCAGCGCGTATGGCAGCAGCGGTGGGTACGGGAGTGGCGCGGGGGGTTACGGGAGTGCAGGATACGGGAACGCTCCGGGCGCAGGAGGTTACGGCAGCGCTGCGGGATATGGCAGCGGAGGCGTGGGCAGCGCAGGGTATGGGAGCG